GCCCATCCTGAAGTACATCCCGCTGGCTGTGCTCTTTGGCATCTTCCTCTACATGGGGGTCACCTCCCTCTTTGGCATCCAGCTCTTCGACCGCATCCTGCTCCTGCTGAAGCCCCCCAAGTACCACCCTGACGAGCCCTACGTCACCCGGGTGAGTGACCCCCAGGGGTGGCTGTGGGTTTGGGGGTGTCCTGGGCTGTGACACCCCTGCGGCTGCTCGGGGCTCCCCGGAGAGCCTCCCCCTGCAGCGCTGACCCTTGCTGGGCTCCTCGGGACGCTGCGCTGACCCCGCAGCAGCCACCGCCCCAGGAAGGGTGTGGGATGCGGGCCTGCCCTCAACCCTCGGCTCCTCGTCCCACAGGTGAAGACTTGGAGGATGCACCTCTTCACCTTCACCCAGATCATCTTCCTCGTGGTGCTGTGGGTGGTGAAGTCCACGCCGGCCTCGCTGGCGCTGCCCTTTGTCCTCATCCTCACCGTGCCCCTGCGGCGCTTCCTGCTCCCCAGGATCTTCCGGGACATCGAGCTCAAATGTGTACGTAGCCCCGGCACTCCCAGCCCTGTCCCAGCCCCTCCTCTCCCTGCTCCTGCTCCCGTCCTCATCTCCATTTCTGTCCCTGCCTCATCCCGCCCCGGCTCTCCTCCCCGTCCCCATCTCTGTCCCCATCTGCGTCCCTCATTCCCACCCGTGTCCCCATCCTCACCCCGTCCCTGCCCCATTCCCGTCCCTGTCCCCATCTGTATCCCTCATTCCCACCCGTGTCCCCATCCTCACCCCGTCCCTGCCCCATTCCCGCCTCTGTCACCATCTGCATCCCTCATTCCCACCCGTGTCCCCATTCCCACCCCGTCCCTGCCCCATTCCCGTCCCCATCCCTTTCCCCAGCCTCATCCCGGCCCCTATTCCCCCACCCCTGTCAGTGTCCCTGTCCTCACCCCGTCCCCATCCTGTGCCCCTCACGCCTCTCCTCTCTGCAGCTGGACGCAGATGACGCCGTGGTGACCTTTGAGGAGGCCGAGGGGACAGATGTGTACAACGAGGTGCAGATGCCCAGTTAAGGGCCGGCCCCGGCCCCCCAGTGCCCCCCCAGCCCCGCTTCCATCTCCACTGCCTACCCTGGGGCCACCGGGCTACCAAGGAGGACTGGGGACACAGTCCCCACTGCCCACCCTTGGGAATGGCGCCTTTTTTGGTTTTCCCTTTTTTTTTGGTCTGTTTTAATTTTGGATGATGTGATCTCACCCCCACTTCGCTGCCTGCTGGGGAAGGGGCTGCCCGGGCTGGCCTGGCCCCACCAGCCACCCTCCACCCGTGGCAAGGTGGCACATGTCACCGTCCCCAAGGCCACCACCGGGAAGGAGCCGGAGGAAGACCCCGGAGCCTGGAGGGAGGAGGAGGAAGGCAGGGACAGAGATTCAGCAGGAATCCTCCCCACTGTCCTCCCCCTCCCCAGGGAGCCCCCCAGCCCAGCCCCTCTCCCCAGATGAACTTTGGACAAGCTGGGACAGACCCTTCACCCCGTGGAGCCCTTTTCCCATTTTCTCCATCGCTTGCTCCACGGGAGCACGTCCCCGAGTCAGGATGTACATAGTCCAGCAAGGGGGTCTATACTCTTACAATGAAAACAATCATGCTTAAAACACACAGAAAAATACTTAAAATTATGCTGGTGCTTCTGCAGATAGAATTTACTTAGAGCCAAGCAGAAAAAAAAAAAAAAAAAAAAGCTGAAAAAAAAGCACCTCAAAAATAAAAAAAAAAAGTAAGAAAAAGAGAAAAAAATTAGGCTGCAAGGAGTGATCTGTATATTTGATGCTACTGGGGGGGTTTGTAATTTATTTTTCAGGCTGGTTGTGCCCCCGCCGCAGTGGGCCATGTGCGTGTGTGTATATAATAGAGAATTATAGCAAAATCTAGAATTTTCTAGAAAAGATGATTTTAAGTAATCCTGGTCAGGGCCTAAACTCTATGGACCAGTCTGGCAGCGTCATTTAGCTGATAAGTTAGTGTTAATTAGTTAATTAGTCCTCTTTATTTTTATAGTGTTTCAGGTAAATCCGTGTAGTTTTTCCTTGATTTTTCCCTTGCTTGCTCACCATTCTTGCCCCATTTCCCTTGGGATTGCTCCCAGTCCAGCTGAGCATCCCCCGACCCTGCCAGGGCTGATCCTGCCCTGGGCAGCCCCAAGGGTTGGATGTGACCAGGGTGTAGAGCGCCAGATCAGGCTCCAAATTTGCTCCTTTTTGCATAAATCAGAGCAGGGGACCCCAAAATCAGCGTGGGGGGTGGGGGGGGTGGGGGGTGGGAAGGGGCAGCCACACCTGGGGCTGCGCTGCCTCATGTTTGGGTTGGTTTAGTTTTATTAATTACATGTCTGAAATAAAAATGTTTTTATCTTTGGGGGTTTCTCCTTCCCTTCCCCACACCTCTGTATCAGGCTTTAATAAACAAATTAATAAAATCAGGAAGGAGATGGAGTTTTCTTTCCAGCTAGGAATTGTCTGGGCTGGTGCCTTGATTCCCCCCAGAAGAGAGCAGCAGCATCCCCTGAGGGTGTCCATCCCCTGCAGCAGGATCCTGGGATATCACTGAATTCCAGAACCCCAAATCCTCGCTGCACCCCAGCACCCCGGAGCGCTCCCCAGACCACCCCTCTGGCTCTTTGTGCCCCCCCGGCTGCTCCCCACAGCTATCCCGGGCAGCTCATCCCCCAGCCCGGCTGCCGCCCCGCCGTGCCCGTTCCAGGGGCCGGGAATGTCTGGCACAGGACACCGAGCGGCCCCTGGCACAGCGCTGCCCCGTTATCCATCACCCCACTCAGGAACGGGCGGCACCGGCACCGGGGCCGCTCGCCCGCAGCCTTTCCACGGCGCAGGAATTGGGAGCAGCACCCAGGATCGCTGCCAGCCGGGACCCCAAAGCCTCTCTGGGGGGCTGGGCTGAGCCCCAGCGCGGCCACCAGGCTGTGCCAAGGCCAGCGGGGCTGCCAGCCCCCGGTCCCCGCAGAGGGAAGCGCACGGACGGCGCTCCCCAGCGCAGAGCCACGGAGCCGGCAGCGCCTGTCCCTGTGCCACCCCACCGGGACAAGCCCCAGCGGTGCCACCCGGAGGCTGCCAGCCCTGCCTCCAACCCCCAAACCTCCAAACCCTGCCTGCACCCACCCCGGGGAGAGCTCGCTGTGCCCCGGGAGATGGCAGCGAGGTCACTGCCACTGGGGCTGGAATTTAGGTCAAGCTCTTCTTTGAACTTGCCTCAGCCCTGGGAAATGGGGAGGGAATTAGGGAAGGTCAGGAGAAACAAGGGGGAAATAAATGCTAATTAATTGGTTGCTAATGAGGGGGAGGAGCGTGGGCTCCAGAGGGGGATCATGATGCAGCATCACCCCTGGAAGGGGAGAACCCCAGTGCCTGCAGCATCGTGGGGTGCCCCATGCCATCCCCGGGCAGGGGACATGGGACACCGTGTCACTGCCCGTGCACTGAAATAGCAGAAAAGTAAACAAAACCCTCCAAACCTGCGGCTTTATTCTCAAAAAATATTAATTGACACAAGGAACAGCATATTAAAAATTATTAAAAATTCCTGTGGTCAGAAGCAAAGCCTGGGAAGGTCAAGGAGAGAGGGGGATGGTTCGGATGGGCATTTGGGGGGTGCCCATTCCCAGCCCATCTGCTGCAGGGTCTGTGGCTCATTCCCAGGTCTCTTACTGGCAACAAAAGCCCCAAGACCACGCTGGGAGAACTGGGACTGGAGCACATTGACAACTCCATTGATTAAAAAAACCCAAAAAAAACCCTGAAAAATTAAAAATGTAAATTTTCACATGTTGGGCCTGATTGGCTCTAAATATTTTATGTGTTTGGTTTTGTTTGTTTCTTTGTTTGTTTTTTTAACTTTTATCATTTTTCCCTTATGCAAAATAGTGACAATTCCTGAAATTCATGGATCCAGCCCAGGCCCTTTTCCACACAGAATAAATACATATATTTTTATTTTTAAGCTCTCACAGGAGGGATTAACCAGCCGGCGCCAGTGCCGCCTGGCCGGGCTTGGCACAGCTCGGGCAGGACGTGGCGGAGGAGCCGCTGTCCCTCCCTCCGCCTGCTCCTTCCCGTCGGGATAAAGCCCAAAGAAGCCACTTGCAGAGCCGGGCACTACCCCCGCACCCCAAACCAGCCGGGGGAGGGGAGATTGTTCCCCACATGGAGGGATTATTCTATTTCTTGTTTCCTTTCCCATGTAAACAGGCGTGAAACCGCCCCGGCTCTCGGCCATTCCCACCGCTCAGCCCGGGAGGTGCGCACAGCGCGCCGAGCTGGGTGAGCCCTCGGCCCGCCCGCCCGGCGGGGCTGCGCCGGTTCCCCGGGGCTGCGCCGGTGCCCGGCGGGGCTGCGCCGGCCCGGAGCGGCCGGGGCGGATCACCGGAGCCGGCCGGATCACCGGAGCCGGCCGGAGCTGGCCGCATCACCGGAGCCGGCCGTTTACCGGAGCTGGCCGGATCACCGGAGCCGGCCGATCACCGGAGCCGCTGGCAGCCGCGCAGGCCCGGCCGTAGCGCGGCCAGCCGGGCCGCTCGGTGCCGCGGCGGCAGCCGGTGCTACGGGAGCTGCCGGTACCGGAGGGGCGGCGGGCACCGTGCAGGCCAAGCCGCCGGCGCGGTCGGTGCTACGGAAGCAGCCGGCAGCGCAGGGGTGCTCGGCACCGCGGAGGCCGCCGGGCTGGCCGGTGGCACGGAAGCAGCCCGGGATGGCCCGTGCTGTGCCGGCAGCCGGGATGGCCGGGAATGTGCAGGCGCTGCCCGGCCGGGATTGGCTGCGGGGAATGACGCCCAGCACAACAAAGGTGGAGTTGGAGAAATTCCATTAAAAAAAATTAAGAGAGAGAGAGAGGGAGAGAGAGAGAGAGAGAGGGAGAGGAGAGAAAGGGAGCGGAGGGAGGGAGGAGGGGAGGAAGCTGCCCCTCGCCCGCCCCGCCGGGCAGAGCCCCCCCCGCCGCCGTGTCCCGGGGCCGCGGGGCGGGCAGGACCGCGGCCCCGCCGTGCCGAGGGGGCCCGGCTCGGCTCCCTTCCCCCCCCCCCCCCACCCGCTTCCCCCCCTTTATTTTTTTTTTCCCCTCATCTCTCTTTTTTTCCCCCTATTTTTAAATTTTTTTCTTTATGCAAACGCCGGCCGAGGATTGTTGCACATGTAAGGAGATTTTTTTTTTTCTTCCTCCCTTCCCCCCCCCCACCCCACCCCCCCTCCTTTCCCTCCTCTTCTCCTTCCTCCTCCTCCTCCTCCTCTTTTTCTTCTCACCACAGTGTTGCAAAAGCAAAGAGCAATAAAAAACCCGGCGGAAAGCGGCGGCGGGGCGGCGGGGCTGGCGGGGAGATCCCGGCGGATCCCGGCGCGCTCAGCCCGGCTGATTGGAAGAGCGAACGCAGCGCCATGGAGGCGGGGGAAAGCGCGATCGTCTCTGCGGGGACTGGAGCGCGTCCACGCCCGGGGCCAGCGCTGCAGAGCTGGCCGCCGTTCAACCGCCGCTCCCCCGCCCCGGCCCCGCCGAGCGAGCCCCGAGCCCCCGCCGCCCCCCAAAGCGGCGGCCCCGCCGGTACGTGCCCGCGCCGGGGGAGCCGCCGCCGCCGTGCCCCGCCGCGCCGCGCCGTGCCCGCCGCCCGGGCTCGCCATTCGCCGCCGCGCCGCTCCGCCGGCGGGGCTGGAGGAGGCGCTTTGTTCCTCCCCGGGCTCCCGCTGCCGCCGCCGCCACCGCCGCGCTCCGGGCTCGGTAAGGCGCTCCGCCGCCGCTCCGACGGGAACGGGGAGGGGGTCGCGCCCACCGGAGCGATTTTTTTTTTTTTTTTAGAGAGATAGATAGATAAATATAAAAGAGAGAATATATTTTTTTTTTAAGAAAGGCTGGTTTCGCGTAGGCCCCGCGGGCAGGAAGCCGCCGCCGCCACCGCCGGGGCTCGCCCGCCTCGCCCGCCCGCGGGGGGCACCGCGCTGGGGCTCGGGGCGGGGGGCAGCGCCCGGCTCGGCGGCCCCGGTGTGCCCCCCCCTTCTCTCCCTCCTTTTTCCCTTCCCTTCCCTCTCCTCCTCCTCGCTCCCTCCCTCCTTCCCGCTCGCCTTCCCTCCCTCCTCCCCGGTGCCGCAGCTGGATTTCGGGGGCAGGCTTCCAGCGCTGCCCGCTTGTTTTTCCCGAGCCCGGGTGAGTCCCGCGCCGCGGCGGGAGCTGGGCGCCGCGCTCCGCCGGTGCGTGCCGGGGCTCGGCCGACCCCCCCCGCGCTTCATCTCCCCTTATCCTCGCTGTATCCCCTCTTCATCCCTTTTTTCTCCTTATTTTCTTTTTATCTATATTTTTTTTTCCTCCCCCTCTTTTTTTTTTTTTTCCGCCTTTCACCCCCCTTCCCTTCCTTTCTTCCCTCCGGACCGGGAGCGGGGCTCCAGCCCCCCGCTGGGTGGGTGGGTGTTTGCGGGCTCGAGGAGGGGTCGCGGAGAGAAAAGAGGGGGGTAAGAAAGGGAGGAAAGGAAAGGAAAAGCGAGGAAAGGAAAAGCGAGGAGGGGGCGGCGGTGGGGAAGAGAGGGGGGGAGGATCGGGTAGGAGCCGCTCCCCGGGGGTCGGTGCGGGGAGGTCGCGCTGCCCTCGCCCGGCTCGCTGCAGCTGCCCGGCCGCCCCCAGCCGGGCATCCCCGCCCCCCCTTCCCCCTCCTCCTCCTCCTCCTCCTTCTCCTTCTCCTTCTTCCCCCAGCGGCTCCGGCGGCGGGGTTGGGGCTGCGGCGGCTCGGTTAGAGCTCCCCCCCACACCCCCCCCCCTCCAACCTCCTCCCTCCTTCTTCCACCACCACCACTACCACCACCACCACCACCTCCTCCTCCTCCTCCTCCCCCTCAGCAGCCCGGAGAGGTGGGTTTGTCTCGGCTTTATAACCGCGGGTGGAGGGGAAGGAGCGGCGGGCGGAGGCGGGCGCAGCCCGGCCATTGTGTGCCGCGGCGGAGAGCGGCCGGTAACGATGGGGGATGCGGGGGGGATGCGGTGAGGGGGGGATGAAGCAGCGCATCGCATCGCTCCGGGGGGCCGGGGGTGCGGAGAGGGGCCGGGGGAGCCGCTCCGCCTTCCCCCGGCCCCTCTCCGCACCCGCGGCCCCCCGAACTCGCCTTCCATTGTCTGCCCGGGTGTTGTTGGAGGGAAAGAAAAAAAAAAAGGGGGGGGGGCTCAGCTCGCTGGCGCCCGGGTGGGAACCGGGGGCGGGGGAGGCGCCGCCGGGGCCGCCCGCGCTCGGTCCCACCCGGTTCCTGCTGCCTGCTGGAGGAGGAGACTGGAGCTGGCCGGCGGCGCAGGGCATGTGCGGGCTCCCCGCCTCCGCCCGCCGGCCCGGCCCCTTCCTCCCCCGCCTCCTCCTCCTCCTCCTCCTCCTCCTCCTCCTCCTCCCCCCCCCCCCCCCGGGCGCGGGATCCGGTCCCCCCCGCCTCCCCCGCGGGGGGATCCCGCGCCCCCTCCCCGCGCGCCCCCGGGGATCCCGGTGCGCGCGCACCGCCCCGCCCCGCCATGGTCCCGCGGATCCCTCCCCCTGTCGCGATCCCGCCTCTCACGACACCCCCGCGCCTTCCCCCGCCGTGATCCCCCGCTCCCCGCCCGGGGCGATCCCCGCTTTCACGCCGCCCGGGGGCTGGGCTTGATCCCACCCCGCGGCGATCGCTCCGCCGGCCCCGGGGGTGGTCCCCGATCGGCCCGGGGGTGGTCCCGACCCGCCCCGCCTGGGGGTTGATCCAAGCCTGGAGCGTTCCCCCATCCCCGCGGGTTCATCCCGCCCCGGTGATCGTGTCCCGCGCTGCTGGGGTCCGCACGCCCCTCGTCCCGCCCAGGTGATCCCCAGCCCCCCCCGGACCGGTTCCCCCCGGTGCTCCCCAGCCCCCCCCGGACCGGTTCCCTCCGGTGCTCCCCAGCCCCCCCCGGGCCGGTTCCCTCCGGTGATCCCCAGCCCCCCCCGGACCGGTTCTCCCCGGTGCTCCCAGGTTCGTCCCCCGAGGGGCTGCCCGGCCTGGCGGGGCCTGGCCCGGATCCCCTCCGGCGGCTGCTCTCCGCCGGGGCCATCCCGGATCTGCCGGGCCGGGCTTCTGCCCGCCTGGGCCTCGCCTGTCCTCCCGGGCGATCCCCTCAGACCCAGGCCCGGTTCTGCCAGAGCCCCTGGGCCCCTCCCCACGGCCCCCCAAACGCGGGTTCCCCCCGGAGCCCCCCAGGCCCGACCCCTCCGCAGGCCCGGGCCTGCTCCCCCCAGGCCTGTGGCCTGTCCCTCAGGGGATCCCCCTGAGGCCTCCAGCCCCATCTGCCCTCCAGGGACTCCCCACTGGAATCCCCAACGGGGATCCCCCCCGGGCTACCTTCCTGACAGCCCCCACCGAGTTTTGGGGTGTCCTCCTTAGGTTATCCTTCGCTGTGGAGACATAATGTCCTTCCTAAGGTGGCCTGAGGGCATCCTTCCCCTGGAGCCCCTGCTGTTGAAATACCTTCCTCCAGCTTCTCCTTCCATGGGAGACTCCTGAATCCCCCCGAGGTCGTCAAATGCCCCCCCAGCTCCCTTGGATCTGGGGGACCCCTCTCTTCTCCAAGCATGTCCCCGCCTCTGGAGAGGATTGTGCTGGATCTGTGGTGGGCCTTCCTTTGAAACCCCCATTTTGCACTGGCGGGAAGGAACCCCCTCACAGGAGATCCCTTGGAGCCCTCTTGACTCAGATTCTCTTGATCCCAGGTTTTTGGATCCCACCCACTCCAGGGAGCCACCTTGAACTTGTCTCTGGGATTTATTTGGATCCCTCTCAGATCCTACCCCCCACCCTGGGGACGAACCCCTGGACCCTTCTCCCCTGCCCACACACCCCTTTTCTTCTCCCCTGACCAGTGTGGGCGTCACATCACCATGAAGGATCCCCCCTCCTGGAGCTCTCCCCAAACCTCGAAGGGATGGGTGGGAGAGGGTATTCCTGCCCTCCTTCTCTCTCCGGGGAGTGGAGAGGATGGGCGGATGCCTGGATCGGGTTTCCCGTTAGGAGTTGAGGCCCCCCATCATGGTGGGGATGCCTAGCAGGGTTCTCCCTTTCCTTGCAGAGCCGTGCGGGAGTGATTTCGGGAAGAGGGTGAGGAGGGACCCGGTGGGACCGTCCTGGGCACAGGCAGGTGGAGGATGAACGGCGAAGCCGAGTGCCCTGCAGACCTGGAAATGACAGCTCCCAAAAACCAAGGTGAGCCCCCGGCAGCCCCCCAGCATGCCGGTGCTCCTGGAGGAACACTGCTGGCACGCTTAAAAACGATAATAAATGAACCTCAGGGCGCCCCTTTTCTCGGAGGGATGGCAGAGGAGAAGGGATGGAGAGGGAGGAGGGAGGGAGGGAGGATCCGTGATCCTGGCTGCCAGCGGGTGGAGGCCGGGGGGAATCTGCCTCTCCGAGTTCTGATCCGCCGCGGGGAACACGCACACACGTGTACGAGCACACGGATCCATGCTCCGGGCCACCAGCAGCCCCTTGGCGCTGGGATGCTCCTCGGGAGCACTGGAATTCCGGGGGGATTGGGAAGGGGGGGCTGGCACAGAGGTGCTGCCCTGCCTGCTCACATCTGGGCTGCATTAAAAGCCGAGCCGTTACCTTGGGCCTCCGGCTTCCAGACCCCAGCATGACATCAGAGCTTCAACTTTCATTGGAAAAGGAAAACAAGGGAAAAAAGAGAGATGTTTATTTAGGGCAGCTCACAGGGCTCTGCCACTCCACCCCTTAAAAGCCCCCTGGGTCCCCCAAACCTCCAGACCTGCCAGGTCCCCTCGTGTTCCTCCTTCCCTGCTGCAGTCGGGGTTGTTGCCTCGAGCGAACCCGGCCGGAGCACGTGTCCTTCTCCGGGACTTTAGATGGATTTAATTACACCGGGGCAGCTTTCCTAATATAGACCCGGCCTGGCCGGTGCCAGGAGAGCCGGGATAAATCGGTCCCAGGGCACAGACAACCCCATTCATCCTGGTGGGTGAATGCTGCAATTCCAGCCTTTTTCAGCATGCCCCAGGTAGAGGGAGGGGGAACAGAGGGATGGAGAGCTGACTGTGGGGGTCCCTGGTGTCCCCACCCTGCTGCCAGTGAGGATTTTGGGATGTTTCCACTGGTTTTTTTTACATAGTCCTTTGGGATGTGGTTATTCCGGCTGTCTGCCAGTGGGGGTTCACGCAGGGCCAAAGGTCTCTGTGTGTCTCTGCATTCAAAGAGGGAAACTGAGGCACTGGACTTGATGGGGGCAGGTTTGGGGGGGTGTCTCATCTCCTCCATCCCCTCTGGATTTTTGTGGCTGTGCTGCTTTTGGTAATTCCTCCTGATTTCTGCAAGTAAAGTTGGCACCAGCTTCCCAGCCCTGTTCTGCCTCATTGGTCCTTGCCTGGGAGGCCTGGAAAGTGGATGGGGAAAACAGGAAGACAGAATTTGGGGCTGTGTTCTCCCTCCCCCAGCTTGGATCACCCCCAGGTCTGTAGGGAATGGGAGTTCCCTTCTCTTTTGCCTCTTCATGGTGTTTTGGGATGAAGCCATGAACATGGGGACACACCCCAAGCCACCAGGCCCTCACTTTCCAGGGGGGCTCTTTCTGTCTTCTCCCTCCATATGAATCCCTAATGAGGTCACTGTAGGGACCAGCTGGATCCCAAACTGTTCCTGCCTTGACCCCCACCAGGCAGGTCCAGGAGGGGAAATGGGATGGGGTGGGGGGGTCACATCCTGGCTGTGCTCCCTTCACCAGCTCCCGTATGTCCTTTAACATCCCTTGCATGGATTTGGGATTCCAGGGGAATTGTCCTTCCCAGACCCCTGCAAGGGCAGGAGGTGGAGGTGGTTTTCTTCATGTTGAGTCTTGAGTGGAAGGAGAGCTGCAGCTGGAGAAATCTCTGCAGCTGGATATTTCTGGGAGCTCAGTTTCGTTCCTGGAGATGGAGGGAGATATGCTCCACTCAGATCCATGACAAGCCACACTGTCCCCATCTCTGGGGTGCTCCATGTCCCGTGGGCAGCTCCGAACGCCTCAGCCTTCACCTGGCAGAGGTGTGAGGCAGGAATGGCTCGTGGTGGTGAGCCAGGCCTGCGCTGCGCTGCGGGAATCCCGGGTGCCCATCCCGGGGTGAGGCAGCCAGGCCTGCGTGGGCGGGTGGCTCCGGGCTCTGCTCCTCCTCCAGCCCATCCCCAGGGAATTTTCCTTCCGCTCCCAGGCCCTGCCGCATTCCCCAGGGCCACCCATGTTTGCAGAGCACCCCGGGCTGTGCTTCCCTGCTGGCTGGAAGCTCAGAGCAGGGAGAAATTCCCCTGGCAAGGAAGCAGCCCCAAGGTTGGGGCGGGATGAGGCGTTCAGGGCTGGGATATCCTGCCTGCTGCCTGTCCTGGCCTCCAGGTTGCTCCAGGCTCTCCGGCCTTGCCACGTGCCCATCCCACCATTCCAGTAGCGTGTTCCTATGGAAGATGGGGATGCTCCTCCCAGCAGCTTGGGGGATATTG